TCTTTATTCTGTTCATTCTCTCTCATTGATTCAGTTTACCCCAAAAAAGTGTTATGTGCATTTGGGATGCTGTTGAAAATATTTTGAGACTTGTTCCATTGAGCAAAAATTAAAAACTTCAAAAATGAAATTGTTTACACAAGTTAAGACATGAAAAATAAAAGTACAAGGCAATAATATGTATCCATTCCCTTTTTTTCACCCTGTTCCTGAATTGCTATAACTAGCAGGTAGATTTTTAATTTAATAATGAATTAAAAGAATGTATACAATAGATTACATGTTTAACAAGTTCATTTCTGGGGAATGGATAATCTTACTTCATGCTTTTTGCCAATATTAGCCTATATTAGAATTGTATTTGCTACTACAGTTTTCCAGTTATACAGTTGCCAGTTTGACATCTGTGAATTATGGTAGCTAAGAACTTCCCTGTCACTAGCCTAAATTCAATTTGGACCCAGACTCCAAAGTTCTCAGATTAAATACATTAATTAGTGTACCAGCGAAATCCTGGTTATAGATTTTCCTTTGAAGCAAAATGATCTCTGAATACTAATAATGGAAAATATCTGATCCCTTAATTTTCTTTTGCTTGCAGGTTTGGATTTGAGGTTTCTTCCAAGTTCTTGCATTTTTTTTGCATTTTGTGAATAACATTAATGACATTAAAAGTTGTTCCCTCTTTCTAGTTTCTTGGAAGTTATTTTTAATGCACATCTGGAAGACCATAACATCAAAACCTACTCCTTTTCTCATTTTCAGGCATTACACCCTTTTGCAGAGGATGACACATGTAGAACTAGTCAAGGGTCACCAGCATTCCAACCTCCAGAAATCGCAAATGGCCTTGATACGTTTTCGGGGTTTAAGGTGGATATTTGGTCTGCAGGGGTGACATTGTAAGTAATAATTGCATAATTATTTATTGATGCAAAAGAAAAGCAAATAATTTGTGTTGATGTTATACAAAAGGAACTCTTGGTGAACTGAATGTTAACATGCCACACAATGAAAATGTTTAGCAAACCTTGGCCTCGTATTATCTACAGTATCGTTTTTATGTTTAATGCAATGTTGTTTTACAACATTTTGCAAATACATAATTAGATGTATAAAAACATCATCTGCTATTGTGATGAAAATACATGCACCATCCTCATCCCTAAAATATTTCATGCTGAGAGTCTGGTGTGGTACAAAGTTTCGACACTTCTGTTGAAAATACTAATTTTATTTTGTATTAACAAAATTTCCTGTTCTTCCTCTATATGCTGAATGTTAATGCTACAGTTTGGACGCAAAAATTGAAATGAAATACTTTTTTGAGGAATATTACCATGTGATAAACTCTGAACTTTTTTGTAGGTACAATATTACAACAGGACTTTATCCATTTGAGGGGGATAACATCTACAAATTGTTTGAAAACATAGGGAAAGGGGAGTACACCATTCCAGAAGATTGTGGACTGTTGCTGTCCGATTTACTGCAAGGTAAGCATAGAAAAACATACCATTGTGAAATTTTTAGGGTGTGTGGCCTTCAAATGACTTTGCTTCTGGACAATTTCAACCTCGTGATGTAGTTCATGCACTGATTTCATTGACTAAGTTTTCTTGAAGATTATATTGCTTTTGTTGCTGATAATGTTTGAACTAATAGTTTAATCCTAGTTGAAACTTCTGTGCATCACCTGCCATGGACTTCTTTGGGCAATGGGAAGAAGAAAAATTGATGAGTAGAATGCTTAACAATACTTTGTTTAAGCAAAATCTTATGAAATGGGTTACATTAAAGAATAATAAAAGTGAATAATAAAAGTTAAAAATAAAACTGGAATAATTGAGGGGAATGGGTGGATGAAATCAGTGAAAGTAATGTTCACTTCACATCTTCAAAATAAAAACTTAAAATGTTATACTCAGTTTTTTTTAATTGAAGGGAGAGGACATAACTAATGAAGTTATGCTGCTGTAAAATACTTCAGGTGTGAGCTGACATCTTCAAATCTAACGTGGAGTGAAAACTTCCTGTAGATTTGCGGTCATACTAAGTAAGAGTGAAGTTTTACAGCAAGCAGTTATTTTGCGCCCATAAGGTTGCAAGTTATACCCTAAAGATACACTAGATGGCATACTACACAGGTTAGAAGACTACAAATACTGTACGAAATGCTTAAAACATCAAAGTTTGCTTTTATTCAAAGTACATTTTGTTTACTAATCTGGACAAAAGACATTTGTCATCAGTTGAATGTAATAATACATTTTTGAGGAACTGACTAATGGCATCCTCTCTTCTGCATTGATGACCTCCCCTATTTCAATATAAATTTATAAAGAATACATAGCCTCTAGTATATATTTATTTATAAGATCATTTTAAGGGGCAATTAAAATATTTCACTAATTTATTATTCATTAATTGTTAATAATAATGGATCTCCACTATTTGGTACCATTCACAGGAAATCAGATTCTGCCTGTCTCTTTGTTTTTCTTTCTCTCTTTCTATCTCTGTGTCTGTCTGTATCTCTCTCTCTCTCTCAAATATCTATGATCTGTGTTTCTGATACCTTTGCTTTCTGTAGTCTTTTCCTTTGTTCCCCGTTTGAGAGAGTTAGTGTGGTGAAGAAAGCAGCTAAGGTTATTTTCTCTGTAAGTAAGTTTGCATAACTTGGTTTTGTTGTCTTTTCTGATCTCTTTTGATATTGCCTTAGCCCTCTTGCTTCCCCTTCCACTTCTATTGTTTCACCATCTTTTTGCTGCTGTTGTTAATTCAAATTAATCATATGGTTATTGCCAATTGAGAAATGTTTCTATATTGGTAGGAAGGTCTGCCTTTTCTCGAAAGGCCAAGTTTTCAACTGACCAGTTTGTTCATTTGTCCCATTGTGTGTCTATGCTGGATCTTTGAAAGAGCTGTTATGTGATTAGCCCACTCTTTTCTTTACCTGTAATCCTATTGTCTGAACATCATGACATCGTACTTCTACAAATTAATCTATTTACTAAATATAAACCTGATTGGTGCTTAATGTATTAGGAAGTATTTTACATGGATGATTTAATGATCCCTGCAGTAAGTGGAAATTCTTCGTCAATCCTATGAGCATTTTTATTCACCAGTATTTATTCACGCAGAAGCTTCATCTTTAATTCGGAAAAAGTAGTGACTTTTTTTAATTAAATGCAAGGAAAAATGTCCAATAATTTCCTGCCAAGGTGGAATTGGTGACATAGTCTATAAACATTTCCAACCTCCGTTTCACAATATTATTTAATAGCAGCAGATCAGAAGCAGCAAAACAAAACTATGCAAATAGGCTTACAGAGAGTTCTATCATTTGATGAATTACACAGACGAGTACATTATTTACAGATACATTCTATTTTGTTTAAAAAGCATACAATTTAAAGACAGTCAAAGTGGCATTTTATAAATTCCTACTTAAGAAATAAAACCAGTCTGACTCCAAACCAAGACACAAACAGATTCTAAACAAAGCCTCACATCTAACCTGCCACCTCCTCTTTACATTGATAAAACCTTAAGTTCTCTCAGGACAGTGACTTCAAAGGAATTTGGGGATTTACATACACATATTAATCAATTAAAATCTTCTAATGATTAAAGATTTAACAGCATCTTAGGTTTGTTTAGAACATCCTCATCAGTGGTGTGACTCTTTGATCTTTTATAAATTCTGATACTACCTCTTTCGTTAACACCTGACGAAGGACTAAGACTCCGAAAGCTTGTGTTTTCAAATAAACCTGTTGGACTATAACCTGGTGTTGTGTGATTTCTGACCTAGTACATTAGAGGCAGAATTCAGATTAACAGGCCTATACTGGTGATAACGCTTCTTTTCCTTGCCCCTCGTTTAGTCATCCAGCTTCCTCTAACAATTGACTTCAATGTAGTAAACTGAGAGCTGAGGATATTCATCAAATGGGACCTAATAAATCAATTTTGTTGTTAAGAAAATACCTTATAACTGAGGAATTTCCAGGACTTTAATAAAGCTGTACTACTTTTATCATTCTTATTAAATATGTAAAAAGATTGGTGAAACTTTGAAGCAGCAAGAGTATAAGAATTGATGAAATACAACTCAGTCTTGTGTATCTGTCCTCCAAGAATTCTCATTTATTATTGGTACTTCATACATATTTATGTAGCAGTTTGCTTCAGTGATCTTCTTCATCTTTTAATGAACAGTTTTATTAGATTTTAATTACCTTTTTTCATGGATAATATTGCTGAATTTGCAAAGCTATCACTACATGTAGAACGTTGAATTATTCTTTTCGTAGCCAATTTGCAAAATGTACAGGGAGAGCAAAATATAGTTGGTGAATTTATAACAACGGATGATTAATGGTATATCACAATGGTCCAAATTTTGAGGTCAGTAGAGAAGCGAGGGAACATGCTGACCTTCAACAAAGTTCCTTCCGAGCATCTGACCATCTCTATGGCATAGAGTTTTGCTTTTCTGCCCTTAATTTGAATTTAATGCCAATTCAAAGGGACCCAGAGGCATCCAGCAGCAGTTGATTTCAATAGAATAAGCAGCAAATTGCATTGTAGCATTCTCACAGAAAACAGGAAGTGAAATATACTTATTATCCTTCATTTTTCAAAGTTACTGAAGATTAGGATATTATTGAAAACCGAAAAGAACTGCAGATGCTGTAAATCATGAACTAAAACATAGTTGCTGGAAAAGCTCAGCAGGTCTGGCAGCATCTGTGAAGGAAAAAACAGAGTTAACATTTCTGGTCCAGTTCTGAGGAAGGCTCACCGGACCCGAAATGTTAACTCTGTTTTTCCCTTTACAGATGCTGCCAGACCTTTTGAGCTTTTCCAGCAACTTTGTATTTGTTCCTGATTAGGACATTTTTATTATATTGGGGAAAGATGGTGGCGTAAGGGTAACGGTACTGGACTAATGATCCAGAAGAACAAGCTAATGCTGTAAGAATATGGATTCAAATTTCACCCTGCCAGCTGGTGGAATTTAAAAATTGAATTAATAAAATCTGGAACCATAAAATCAGTCTCTGTGACAACCATCAGAACTATCAGAGGGTTGTAAAACCCTATCTGCTTCAATAATGTCCTTTTGGGAAAGAAATCTGCCATCCTTATCTGATCTGACCTACACATGGCTCCAGACCCAAAGCGATGTGATTGACTGACTCCTTACTGCCCTCTGAAATGAGCCTGTCTGCTCAAGGCAATTAAGAATAGGCAACCAATTTTAACTTTGCCAACAACACATGGATCCCATGAAGAAAATAAAGAAAAACACTTTCTGATAGCGATTTGATGAAGGATGAAATCAAAGCCAGTTTTTGCTTGGAATAGATTTATTCACAGAATGAGATGTTACAGATGTATATCTCCTGACTCCACTCCAGTTCTCAGGACTGATGAAGGGTCCCAACCTGAAATGTCGACTTTTCTGCTCGTCTGATGCTACCTGACCTGCTGTGTTCCTCCAGCTCCACACTGTGTTGACTCTGACTCCAGCATCTGCAGTTCTTGCTATCTCTGTCAGTAACTGTTTCTCCATATGTGCTCAAATAACCAATCAATGCCCTTCACCTGTATGTTCTTATCCTCTATTTATAAAATTAGCAAATTGAGTCTGAAATGTTAAAACTTGGGGGGAAAAACTATATTAAAGGCTTTTTAATCACAATGGAAAAACTTGGCATTCCACAAACATAAAAATAGTTTTCCAGGATCCCAGAATTTTCAGCTATATTTATGGTTTAGTGTGCCATTGAAACTCAAGTAACACCTCAATAATGAATCATTACTTTTCAGGGTTTTTGAACATCTATATTACATTTAAGTTGAATGATTGACTGAACAAAAAAAAAGTTGCAGATCCGAGGGAGTAGAATTACCAGAGTTGCTTTTGCAGAGCTGGCTTATGCACGATGGACCAAATAAATCTCCGCAATTCAATGTCCATATGTGGATAAGTTGCTCAGTTTCACATGTGCGTTAATGTCAAATGCTTGCAGTTTCATTGACATTATAACTGCAAAATTCAAGCTGGTGTTATGGGCTATTGTGATTTTGTTTTTTACAATATACTTTCACATGTAGCTACAACATCTGTTGATCTAGCATAACTCTGTAGTTAATATTGTAAGCATAAATTGGGCTCTTTGCCTGCTGGAATATTGTGGAAAATTGTTGGAATGACATACAGAACAGCCTTTTTACGTGATTCTTTTAACAAGTAAATAGTAACCGAAACTGAGAAGCTTTTTTTTCAATCAATTGGTAATCCTGTTAGCTCCACAAACAAGCATGGCAAACAAAATGTTACATCCACAAACAACTTTCTAAGTGTGCTAAATAAATCATAGCACAATGATATATCATGAAATTAACAATGTAAAAGATGCTTATAAATCTCCTAAAGTTGGTACCTGAATTTCCTGTGGTTTTAAGGAGGAAAGATAGTAATTTTGAACTGCTGATGGATCCTTTAAATGCATGCATCATGATACTAACTGATCAAGAGACTCCACAGGCAAAATATTTTACAGTCTAAGGTTTAATGCCTGTAAAAGTAACACTAATTCAGGGAACTTGTGGTTGCCATTGATAATGGTGACATGGCTATGATCGTCTCAGGTTTTTTGCTGAGGATAACAGGAGAAGAACATTGAAGTGTAAGGCAATTGTGGTATGGTATAGGCAATTGTGGTATGGTATAAGTTATTTGCAAATCATTTCCTTTCTTTTGTGCTATAATGTAGGTTCCACCATAGAGAAGGCTCAAGCCTCCAGTTAATTCTGGGCCAGTACCCAGAGAAGACTAAATCAGGAAGTAATTTTTTCTAGTTTTGTAGCCATTGTGTTATTTTAACATTAGTCTTTATTTGTCATTACAGGAATGCTTGAATATGATCCTGTGAAAAGATTTTCAATACAACAAATCAGACAGCACAAGTAAGTTTTGTTGCATCAGTCAAATTTAACATGAATTAGTAAAAACTCAATTCCTCATAATAATCTTCTTTTGGAGACGTTAGATACATTGGCAGAAAAATGCTTGTGTGCATACTTCGTGACAGCGTTGGTGCTTATTCGTAGTTTGAATACATTTTTAGGTTGGTTCTCACGACTTTATACATCACTGTGCCTCCTGTAGACCTTGTTTCACACTGAGTTATGGTTTCATCATTTCAAAGACATTACAAAATTGTCGGAGATCATTTGGCCTAATCAATAGGTTCCATTAATGGTCCGCAATTGGATGTTATCTGCTCTATTCGCAAATCCCTACTCTGACCATTGCTATACATTTGGAACTTCTTCACCGTTACTCTTGCGGCTGATTTTAGCTTCCTATGATTGTAAACACTGGTTCTGATAACTTAGTTTTCATAAATGTGCCTTGGATAAATAACTTCATTGCATATTTTGTTATTTAGTTCCTAAAGAATGACTATTCCAAAAAGTCAACATGTAGAACATCAACGAACCATTTAAGATATAATTCGCAGCTCAAACAATAACTATACAACTTTTCAAGTTTATTATTTAAGAGAAAAGTTTCTGTCTGCACTTTTCAATAATAGTATCCTTTAGCTCAGGTTCATTTGAGTGTTGTATGTTAAGAACATAATTATTCTCTTCACTTGACCCCCAAATTATTTTAAAAATACTAATTAATATAACTTTGATGTTTTAGAAGTTGTCACTGAAAATGCAATTTGAGTAGATTTTTGTAGTTTTTCTTCTAATTGTGCAGAGTGAAACACAAGTCTTTTCTGAGGCAGAGTTATTAATGTGCTAAAATAAGCAACACACCCCTCTCCCCAGGAACAGTTATGATATTTTAATCAAAAGGTGTTCAAGGCTAAGAAATATGAATGTCTATGATGCTGTTCCTAAGTTATTGCCCTTTTAGATTAAAAAGATGTTTTTGCTGTCTCCTGTGGTTTAAGAAGGCTTTCCCACTGCTTTGTTCATCAGTTAGTTGGGTCTTAGGAGTTACTGGAGAGGGGTTGGATGAAATGAAAAACTGGCTGATGGTGACTGAATTATAAATGAGATGGTAGAAGCTATTCACTTAATTTACCATTGAGCAATTTCACTGTCAACCTTGTTTAGCAGGTGGCATATCTGAGTGGGGGGGGTTGCTTGTCAATAGTGCTGCTCAGTGAGTTGGCCTTAATAACCTTTCGAATTTTTGCTGGCACGAGTGCTGTATTTTGGCGCACACCCCCACATAGTGTGGGTGTTTCTCAAAAAGCCCTTGTACACAGCATCACTTTTAAAGCAACAGGAATTATTGTCAATTTGCTTTAGTTGCATTTATAGCCGGGTAATTTAGTGAAATTTGAACATCTAGGTTAAAATGAATGTGGAAAAATGCAACAATGACATAATCCAGAAGAACTGAGAGAGAAAAATGACAAATAATTAATAATTAGTATGGAAACTGGATAAAATTGAAAGTATTAACAATTTGCTCAAATATGAGTGGTGTTGATATGATAATATCACAATACCATTAAAGCTATATCAGAAATGGAGAATCTGGATAGTCATTTTGTTCCCCACAAGCCTGTGACTCTCTTCTGTCATAACATGGTGAATATACATGTTAATCTCCACTAACCTGCTCTATGTACTTCGGCACTTTTAATGCCAACAGTGAAAATTTCAAATGGCTGACCAACCACAAATTATTATGTTGGTCTAAATTTTCACTGGGCTTGGAGTAAAAGAAAATATGATTCCTAATTTCATTCATAACTGATTCGGCTGTAGTTATAATACTAATTTATCTATTAAATCCCTTTCTTATTTTGAACACCTAGAATAAAACATCCTCCAGCTTCCTAACGTAACAGAAAACACCCAACCATGGTTGTGTTACACCACACATAATGCCAGATTAAAGTCTTTACAGGAAACGATAATGTTTCTCCTGGCTTCCAGTAGACTCACTTCCTCATGTTTCACTAAGCTCCAGGTGTGCCCTCTTCATTGAATCAGGATGATCTCCTGGCTTGACAGTAGTTGTATAATGGAGGATATGCACTGCCATGTGGTTGGCATACAATTCTGCTGCTTCTGATGGGCCAGACACCTCATGGATGCCCAACCTTGAGTTGCTAGACATGTTTGAAATCTATCTAATTTGCAAAACATGGCAGGTATTCTCAATGTAGGGATGAGTTTTCACCGCCACAAGGATTGTGCAGTGTTCATTCTCCCTGATATTTTTATACACAGGTGTATTTGCAGCAGGAGGATTGGTGAGGATGAGGTCAAGTATGTTTATCCCCTGTTGAGGTTGGTTGGCTCGCCGAGCTGGTTTGTTGTTCCGCAGACGTTTCGTTACCGTGCTTGGTAACATCCTCAGTGCAGCCTCTGATGAAGCGTCGGTGTGTTTTCCCGCCTGGTTTTTAAACTCTGGGGTCCGTTGTGATGGATTGCCTCACTTCCGGGTTTCCTCCGTAGTGGAATGTATATGGGGTCGAGTTCAATGTGTTTATTAATAGCATGCTTCGTGGAGTGCCATGCTTCCAGGAATTCTCGTGCTTGTCTCTGCCTAGCCTGTCCCAGGATCTTGGTGTTGTCCCAGTCAAAGTTGTGGTTCTCCTTGTCCTTGTGGATTGAGATGAGTGAGTACAGGGCAACTTCCTCCTCACTGCACCAATGTAGCATCTCTGCTGGCTCTGTCCTGCTTGTAGATGATGGTAATATTATCTGGGATAATGTTTGTGAGGTATGATTCTGAGTATGACAGTGTCAGCTTATTTCTTAACTAGTGAGCCAGTTCACAAGAGATTTTGCAGGGCTGATAGGGTTAAGTTTGGTGTTCAGTGCCTAGGTTGATACTAGGTGTTCTGTTCAGTTTCCTTCCTTTCTTGAGACTTTTTAGTAGTTTTGATAGAACTGAATGGCTTTGTGGATCATTTTAGAAGGCAGTTAAGAGTTGACCACCATATGGGTCTAGAGTCATGTTAAGCCAGACCAGGTAAGGCCAGTAGTTTTCTTTCCTTAAAGAATATTAGTGAACCAAGTGTGTTTTTATGACAGAGATAGTAGGAACTGCAGATGCTGGAGAATCTGAGATAACAAGGTGTAGAGCTGAATGAACACAGCAGGCCAAGCAGCATCAGAGGAGCAGGAAGGCTGACGTTTCGGGCCTAGACCCTTCTTCATTTCTGAAGAAGGG